TCCCCTTCCCCCTCCCCAATACCCTATTACTGTAGTACCTATGTGTCCACTTAGGTGCTACTCAGTTAATACCAGTTTGCTAAGATACCTGCACTCGAATGTTTATAGCAGCACAATTCATAATTGCAAGGCTGTGGAAACAGCCCAAGTGCCCATCAACCCAAGAATGGATGAATAAAATGTGGTATATGTATACCATGGAGTACTATTCAGCTCTAAGAAACAATGGTGATATAGCACATCTTATATTTTCCTGGTTAGAGCTGGAACACATACTACTAAGAATGGCCCTTATTAACAAGTCTCAAAACAGTAAATGTTGGCGTGGATGTGGAGAGATAGGAACACTCCTACATTGCTGAGACTGCAAACTAGTTCAGCCTCCATGGAAAGCAGTATGGAGATACCTTAAAGCGATACAAGTGGATCTACAATTTGATCCAGCAATCTCATTACTGGACATCTACCCAAAAGAACAAAAGTCACTTTATGAAAAAGACACCTGCACTCGAATGTTTATAGCAGCACAATACACAATTGCAAAGTGGTGGAAACAACCCAAGTGCCCATCAATTCTTGAGTGGATTAATAAAATGTGGTATATGTATACCATGGAGTACCACTCAGCTTTAAGAAACAACAGTGATACAGCACCTCTTGTATATTCCTGGATAGAGCTGGAACCCATCCTACTAAGTGAAGTATCCCAAGAATGGAAAAACAAGCACCTCATGTACTCAACAACAAATTGTTATTAACTGATCAACACCTAAGTGGACATATAGGAATAACATTTAATGGGTGTTGGGCAGATGGGGGGAAGGGGATGGGTATATACATACATAGTGAGTGTGATGCACACCAACTGGGGGATGGACACACTTGAAGCTCTGTCTGGAGGGGGGAGGGAGGGCAAAGGCAATATACATAACCTTAACATTTGTACTCCCACAATATGCTGGGAAAAAAAATAAAAAATAAAATAAAATGTGGTATATGTATACCAGGGAGTACTATTCAGCCACAAGAAACAATGGTGATATAGCGCCCCTTGTATTATCCTGGATAGAGCTGAAACCCATTCTACTAAGTGAAGTATCCCAAGAATTGAAAAATAAGCACCACTTGTACTCACCAGCAAATCAGTTTTAATTGATCAACACCTAAGTGCACATAACATTAATCGGGTGTTGGGTAGATGGGAGGGGGGAGGAGGGGATGGGTATATACACACACAATGGGTGTGGTGTGCACCATCTGGGCGATGGACATACTTGAAGCTCTGACTGGAGGAGGGGGAGAAGGGTAACCTAAACCTTTGTACCCCCATAATATGCTGAAAATAATAACTCCTTCACTGTAGATGTTTTTGGCAATATCTTCTCATGCCCCCTGAAATCTCTGGACCACTTATCACAACCACATGGTTGTCTCAGGGCTTCTGATGCCAATATTGCCCCCTCAGCCTCATGCTATACACCATTAAAACGGCAAATGACTGGCTAGCTACTGGACCCTCCTGAAAATAGAGGCTCTCACAGACACTGAGTCTATGATCCTCCAAACCTTGCTTCTCTTTATATTTTGATCATGTAAACAGCACCCCACAGGCTCAGCAGGGCTACAGAGGCCTCTCTAAGATAGGATGGAACCAACCCTGAGCCCTCTGCTATATTCCACCAGCAGGAAGGTATGGCTTCCTCTGTCCTCAGTCCTTTGCCAGATGCCAGCATGCTGGAGGAGGTCACCCTTCCCCAAACCCCCTGACTACCTGGAAAGCCCCTTGAGGTAATTCCTTGAATGACAGTTCATAGCCAGCATGTCCCTAATAAAGGACCCAAAAAACCACATACTTGGCCAAACTCCAGTCTCAGTGCTGGATGCTGTAGTCAACAAATGCTTCTGTCATCATTTATTATAACATAATATGCACACTCAACCAGTGGGTGGGGAGCGAGCGAGCAAGACAGAAAGAGAGAGATCAAGGAGTCAATGCCTTTATTGGACATTGTCCAAGCACGTTTCCTGGGGGGAGTTATAATTGGTGGGTTTAAAGCAAGCAGGCACACTGGAGTCATGCTGTAACTGAGAGGTGGTCACTGTGACATATCTGTGCAGTTCATGTGGGGTGTCGGGATCAGTGGACAAGTAGGTTGTATCTAGGTGTTCCAAAGGGAAGTGGTCACTAGGATGCAGCTGTGTAAGAAAGATATCTGTATTGATCACACTGAGGAACTGGGAGGAGATGTAGAACTGGAAACTGAGCCCTGCTTCTGGTATAACAAAGTTAAACTTATGTTCAAACTGGATGCCAAGGCAACATAAAATTATAAGAATTTACTCCACTTCCTCCCTGAAATCCTTCCTTTACTCTCTAGTTGGGAGGGGGAGAAACACCACCTAATGAAGCTTGCCCATATCTGCCTCCTAAATAGCATCTCATTTGGAAAAGGGGGATGCTGCCTCCCAACATCAACCAGGGGAAGGTATATTAGTGGTTTTATAATATGAAGGAATTTAAAGGTGAGAAACTTTTTTTTGAGGCAGAGTCTCACTCTGTTGCCCAGGCTAGAGCACTATGGCATCAGCCTAGCTCACAGAAACCTCCAACTCCTGGGATCAAGCAATCCTTCTGCCTTAGCCTCCTGAGTAGCTGGGACTATAGGCATGTGACACCATGCCCAGTTAATTTTTTCTATATTTTTAGTTGGTCAATTAATTTTTTTCTATTTTTAGGGTCTCGCTTTTGCTCAGGCTGGTTTCAAACTCCTGACTTTGAGTGATCCTCCCACCTTGGCCTCCCAGAGTGCTAGGGTTACAGGTGTGAGCCACCACACCTGGCCTAAAGGTGAAAAAATTTTTACTCTCTATGCTTCTCCATCAGGAAAAAAATACACAAATGTTCATCATCTGTGTCATGAAATTTGGCTAAGAAGAATTTATCAAGTAGTATATGGGCAGAAGAGCAGAGATTTGTCTCTAAGTTAAATCAAAAGCAAAGAATAAGAAATTAAAGGCATTCAAATTGGAAAAGAAGAAAATTATCTGTTTGTTAATAATATGATTTTATACCTAGAAAATCCTAAAGACTCCTCTAAAAGACTCCTAGATTTGATAAATGAATTCAGTAAAGTCTCAGGTTACAAAATTAACATACACAAATTTGTAGCATTTCTATATATCAATAATGGTCAAGCTGAGAACCAAATCAAGAACTCAGTCCCATTTACAATAGCTGCAAAAAATAAATATTAATACCTAAGAATATATTTAACCAAGGAGGTGAATGATCTCTACAAAGAAAACTAAAAAACACTGATGAAAGAAATTGTAGATGACACAAACAAATGGAGAAACATCCCATGCTCCTGGATTGAAAGAATCAATATTGTTAAAATGACCATACTGTCCAAAGTCATCTACAGATTCAATGCAATTCATATTGAAATACCAATGTCATTTTTCACAGAATTAGAAAAAATATTAAAATTCATATGTAACCCCAAAAGACCCCAAATAGCCAAAGTAATCCTAAGCAAAAAGAGTAAAACTGGAGGCATCACATTACCTGACTTCAAATTATCCTACAAGGCTATAGTAACCAAAACAGCATGGTACTAATATAAAAGATCATGGAACACATAGATCAATGGGACAGAAAAAAGAACCCAGATAAAAAAAGGATCTTCATATAGCCATCTGATCTTTGAAAAAGCAGACAAAAACATACACTGGGGAAAGATACTCTATTCAATAAATGGTGCTGGGAAAATTGGATAGCCATACACAGATGAATAAAACTGGATGCCTCTCACCATATACAAAAATTAACTCAAGATGGATTACATACTTATATGTAAGACCAAAAACCATAAAAGTTCTAGAAGAAAACCTAGGAAAACTGTCCTGGACATTGGCCTAGAAAAAGAATTTGTTAAAGACCCAAAAGCAAATACAGGAAAAAAAAAATAAACAAATGGGACTTAAACTAAAAAGTTTCTGCATAGCAAGAGAAATAATCCATAGAGTAAACAGACAACCTATACAAAGGAATAATATACAGAATCTATAAGAAATTCAAACAACTCAGCAAGGAACAAAAACACATTAAAAAGTAGGCAAACAACCTGAACAGATATTTTTCAAAAGAAGAGATACAAGTGGCCAAGAAACATGTGAAAAAATGCTCAACATCATTAATCATCAGAGAAATACAAACTAAAACCACAATGAGATGCCATCTTATTCCAACCAAAATGGCCATTATTAAAAAGTAAAAAAACAATAGATGTTGGCACAGATTCAGTGAAAAGTGAACATTTATACACTGTTGGTGAGAATGTAAACTAGTACAACCTATGTGGAGATCAGTATGGAGACTTCACAAAGAACTAAAAGCAGATCTATATTATTCAATACAGCAATCCCACTACTGGGTGTCTATCCAAAGAAAAAGAAATCATATCAAAAATATACCTGCACTCTTATGTTTATCACAGGACAATTCACAATCACAAAGATATGGAGTCAACTTAAGTGCCCATCAACTGAGGACTACATAAAGAAAATGTAATTATATATATATAATATATATTATATATATATATATATATACATGCTGTGGAATACTACTCAGCCATAAAAAAGAATGAAATAATATCTTTTGCAGCAACTTAGAAAGAACTAGAGGCCATTATCCTAAGTGAAATTACTCAGGAACAAAAAAAAAAAATACTGCATATTCTCAATTATAAGTGGGAGCTAAGCTATATGTATGCATTGTTGTACAGAATGGTATAATGGACATTGGAGACTCAGAAGAGGGAGGGTGAGAGTGGAGTGATGGCTGAAAAATTACCTATTGGGTACAGTGTACATTCTTTGGGTGATGAGTATACCTAAAGCTTAGACTTTACCACTATAAAACATCTATGTAACAAAATTCCTCTTGTACCCCCTAAATCTATTGAAATAAAAAATAAAAGAATTAACACATGGGGTTCAAGTTTATATATTTATTTCTGCTTCATTCCATCAATTGGAGCAAGTAATGATCCTGGAGCAGAAGGACGCCCAAGAAAGGTGGTAGTGAAGGATGAGGTCTTCAAACAAAAGTAGTAGTGGTCATGATGGTTTACCATTTATTCCGGGTACAGAAGTTGGAGGAGAAGAAGAAACTCCTCCAGGCAGAGGTAGCGCTGGTAGAGATGTTGGTGGGAATGGCCCTCCATCTGCCTGTTGACGCACTGGATGAGATCCTGGAATTTATGAGCTACCTGAGAGTCCGTGTTCCTGTAATATAAATAATCTAATGTTTAAATTGTTTCAATAAAATATGCATCTCAGAGTATATAATAGTAACTGTGATTTTTTAGAGATTATGCACTGCTTATTTATCAACTTTCGGGGACTTAACAGTGTATGCAAAAGACTTGTATGGCTATATGATAAGCATTTTAAACTCTAAACTGACTTTCTGATAACACTCTAATGCTAGGAAAGTTGGGATCCTCATCAAAGGCCTTGTGAAATACTATTCCAAAATAATGAAAAATTCAAATATGATAAACATATGCAAATGGGATTTGCTCTATATGGCTTGAGCCTGTTATTATAGATGAGTTGGTTAAAATATGGATAACAAGGCCGGGCGCTGTGGCTCACGCCTGTAATCCTAGCTCTTGGGAGGCCGAGGCGGGCGGATTGCTCAAGGTCAGGAGTTCAAAACCAGCCTGAGCGGAAAGAGATTTGATTTTAAGACAATTTTTCCTATGTTGGGGGGAAAAAGTCTTGAACATTAGTTTCTAAACTGACCCTCATATTTTATGACAGAATATATCAAAAGCAACTTATTTTAAGAGGAAATGTTTGTGAAATATTGAAAATTGTTTCATCATTGTACTTGCAGGAACTCCAGAGAAAGAGAACCAATACGATGATGTGTGTGTGTGTATCATGCACATATGTGAAGAGATTATGATAAGGAATTGTTGTGTGATTATCGGAGATGGCGCAAGTGCCAAGATCTACAGGTTGTCAGAAAGCTAGAGCTCAGGGGAGACAATGTTTAGTTCCATCAAGCCTAAAGGGGCTAGAACCAGGAGAGCTTGGTGTGATGTTCCATCCAAAGGCCAGCATGCTTGAGACCCAGGGATGGCCAATTCGTCCAGTTTGGTATCAGAGGCAGGATAAAGCTGATGCTCCAGTTGGAAGGCAGTCAGCTGAAGAATTGTTCTTACTAGGAGAAGTCAGCCTTTTTGTTCTATTCCCCTTACAGCTGATGGATCAGATCCATCACATTATGATGGACAATGTGCTTTGGTCACATACCATGTAATCTAATCTCACCCTAAAACCACTCACAGAAACACTCCAGAATAACGCTAAAAATTTGGCACGCCATGGCCTAATTTCATACACAACTCTACCACCTGCCAACTTTGCACGAATACATACTTTTAAACCATATTTAATCTCCAAATAAAGACAGTAACAAAGTCATATTCTGCCTAATATGATACACTATTTATGACATCAATAACCACAAGCCTCTCCCAAAGAGACATAAAGTTGTGAATCATGGTTACCGTACTTCTTCTATTGATATCTGCGACTTAAATACTATATATAAAGTCAGTAGTCTTCTGCCACATGAGAAAGAGGAAGAAAAAAAGAATTTGCATAAAATTTGTGTATATACACCTGAACACACATAATATATACATATATGCATACAGACATATTCATAATAACAAATATCTGTACACTATGGTCAGTCATAAGGAAAATCTCAATCATTAATCCTCAAAGCTTTGTAGCATTCATAATTTTGACTACCATTGGTTCAAAAACATGTGTACTTATTTCCACCCACATGCCTCTTGACCAAACTTCTAGCATACGAAAATTTCCCAGGATGGTCTAACTTTAGAACTATGTAGCAGTCTCCTCAAGACAACTTGTAGTTTGGAGGGAATATGTAGAAAGTGAAGATGTGCTTCTTACTATATGAATGCCTATGGTTTCCACCCATTCACTGAAAAATTATGTCAAAAGTTCACAATGACTCCAATGACTCAATCTGGTGGCCCCATAAATTCCCTAGTCTCCTCTGCTTAACTATATCTATAATATTTGATTATTTAATTTCAATAGTATTTTTCTATTCTTCTACTTCAACTTTCATGTTTTGAAAGTTATTCTTCCTTTTGTTATTCCTCAAATAAGGACATTTGCCTGTTTTGTCCTCAGCTCATATACATAAAATGCATTGTTAGTCTTACCATAGTACATAGAAATTGAAATTACGATTGTGAAAGAACTGTGTTCAAATCCTAATCATGTTTTTCACACTAACTTTGTGACCTTGACCATTACTTAAACTTCTAGAGTTTGTTTCCTTCTATAAGTGGGCCAGATTGAAACTATTGGCCATACTACCTATATAGAGGTGTATACTGAGGACCAGAAAGTGATGATAGATATAAAAATTTTGGGCCGGGCGCCAGGTGGCTCACGCCTGTAATCCTAACACTCTGGGAGGCCGAGGCGGGCGGATTGCTCGAGGTCTGGGAGTTTTGAAACCAGCCTGAGCGAGACCCCGTTCTACTAAAAATAGAAAGAAATTAATTGACAACTAAAGTATATATACAAAAATTAGCCGGGCATGGTGGTGCATGCCTGTAGTCCAGCTACTCGGGAGGCTGAGGCAGGAGGATCGCTTGAGCCCAGGAGTTGAGGTTGCTGTGAGCTAGGCTGACGCCACGGACTCACTCTAGCCTGGGCAACAAGTGAGACCTGTCTCAAAAAAAAAATTTGATAAGATATATTACTTGCAAATGGATGTTACTTATTAATTATTGGCATTAGAAGACAGCTGGGTCAGTAACACTATGAGCTAATTGATCCCCAAGTAGATCAAACTCATGACCTTATATTAAGTAATTATTTTTTTTTTTTCATATCAAGCATTTATTTATTTATTATTTTTTTTTTTTTATTTTTTTTTTTTTGAGACAGGAGTCTCGCTTTGTTGCCAGGCTAGAGTGAGTGCCGTGGCGCAGCCTAGCCTCACAGCAACCTCAAACTCTGGCTCGAGTGATCCTTCCTGCCTCAGCCTCCCGGGTAGCTGGACTACAGCATGCGCCACCATGCCCGGCTTAATTTTTTTATATATATATAATCAGTTGGCCATTAATTTTTTCTATTATAGTAGAGACGGGGTCCTCGCTCTTGCACTTGCTCAGGCTTGTTTTTGAACTCCTGACGTTGAGCAATCCGCCCGCCTCGGCCTCCCAAGAGCTAGGATTACAGCGTGAGCCACAGCGCCCGGCCTTGGTTATCCCATAATTTAACTCAACTCATCCTATAATAACAGGCCTCCAAGCCATATAGAGCAAATCCCATTTGCATTTTTATCATATTTGAATTTTTCATTATTTTGGAATAGTATTTCAGCAAGGCCTTTGATGAGGATCCAACTTTCCTAGCATTAGAGTGTATCAGAAAGGTCAGTTTAGAGTTTTAAAATGCTTATCATATAGCCATACAGTCTTTGCCATACACTGTAAGTCCTTTTTCTCTTTTGAAAGTTGATAATAACAAGTGCATAATCTCTAAAAAATCACAGTTATCTATTATATACTCTGGAGATGCATATTTTATTGAAACAATTTAACATTAGATTATTTAATCATTACAGGAACAGCGGACTTCAGGTAGCTCATAAATTCCAGGAATCTCATCCAGTGGCGTCAACAGGCAGATGGAGGGCCATTCCCACCCAACATCTCTACCAGCGTACCTCTGCCCTGGAGGAGTTTCTTCTTCTCACCTCCAAAACTTCTGTACCCGGAATAAATGGTAAACCATCATGACCACTACTACTTTTGTTTGAAGACCTCATCCTTCACTACCACTTTCTTGGGTCCCTCTGCTCCAGGATCATTACTTGCTCCGCAATTGATGGAATGAAGCAGAAATAAATATATAAACTTGAAACCCCATGTGTTTAATTCTTTTATTTTTTATTTCAATAGATTTAGGGGGTACAAGAGGATTTTGTACATAGATGTTTTATAGTGTTAAAGTCTAAGGCTTTAGGTTACTCATCACCCAAAAATGTACCACTGTAGCCCAATAGGTAATTTTTTTCAGCGCATCACTCCACCTCCGTCACCCTCCTCTCCTGAGTCCTCCAATGTCCATTATACGGCGCATTCTGTGCAAACAATGCATACATATAGCGTTGCTTAGCTCCCACTTATAATTGAGAATATGGCAGTTAATTTTTTTTTTTTGTTGCGCTGGGGAGTAATTTTCACCTTAGGATAATGTCTAGTTCTTTTCTAAGTTGCTGCAAAAGATATTATTTTCATTCTTTTTTATGGGCTGAGTAGTTTCCACAGGGGCATGTATATGTGTTATACTATATATACTATATCATATATA